TATTATGTTTTAATATATACAGAGCTGTATTATTGAATTTTTTTTTCAACTTTTTTTTATAATAAAAGTTGTATAATAAAAGTAAGTCTAATGTTTTTAATGTAAAAGTACAAAAATCAAATATATATAAATTTTTATATGTGATAGTTTTATGTGATTGTTTATACAGGCATTTGGGAATATACATATGTGTGTGTGTTTTTTTTTTATATTTTCTTTTAATTTAATTTTTTATTTTTAGAAATTCAAAACCCGTGTCAGCGTGGACATGCAGCAGCTTATTTGTTTTCCTTGTGTTTCGTCACTCTCACAATTGGCCACGCGCTGGGAGACAAAGGTAAGTAGACTGAGCATATTCATTGAAAGGGCATTGGCTTCCAGCTCCTCGCATAGATTGTATATAAACCAGCTGCCCTTTAAGGTATTGCTCCACGATCTGTAATTAGGAACTGTGCAAAAGGCAACTAAAAAATCGGCGAATCTTGGTATCCTATAGCTGCTCTCCGAATCACCGTCCGTTTCCGTATGTCCCTTGGAATGAACGGAATAGCCTGGATCTCTCAGATTGCCTCGACAGGCCTGGACAATAATTATCTTCGGTTTGCCCGCTAGTGTGAGGCACTTGTCAGCTGCGAAGGCTTCCCAAATGTGCTCCAACTCATAGGAATGATCACGAGCATAGACCTTATTGTTTTTGCCATGCGTCAGCAGAGCGACTAGAATGCAATCGTTATTCGAATGATCCATGCCAACAGCGTTATTTAGTGTTTCCTTTAGTTCCTTGTGACACAGGTCTTTGTAAATCCGTACATCGAAACCCAATTTTTTGAGCACACGACTTAAATTTTCGCTGTCGATAACTGATTCGGGTCGTAATGACAGACGTTTCTTATTGAAGTGCTCATGGCTGAAGATCATTGCCAGCCCGCGATGCGGATGAGACATTTTATATTCGAATGCATATCGATGAGTAACCATAACGGCAACGTTGCTGCTCGTAGAATGATATTTCGTGGGTTCCACAGAGAAGCAGGCTCCATCGAGGAATTCATTAGATGAATCAGAAGTTATTTGTTCCTCTTTAGTTCCTGAATTTGATTTATCTTGATCACACATATTTTATTTTATCGCTCTTTCAACACCAAACGAAGCTATGTGATTACCGTCGGACTACGCTATAAGCTTACTGATAAGAAAATATTGCCAATTTTCGTAGTGTTGTCATCATCAGTGCATATGCTGAACTTTTATTTCTGATCGATAGTGGCAGCGCTATAATATGGAGGTGCGGCATTTCTTATTTAAGAAATATAAGTATTTTAATACATACATCGTTATAATTATAAATAAATAATTTTTTAATAAATAAACAAATTCTTTGATAAAGCATTGGCTGATGTACGCCTGGGAAACAATCGTTGAGCTTTGTTTATTTAAATCTGCATTTAATTAACTTAATGATAACCGTTCGCTTAATCGCTTAAGTGTCATTCCATATCATTATAGCATGGTTTGTGTCTCATCTAAAATATTTATTTTATAAATGTACTTGCTATAACAATTATAACACTAAGTGTTATAAAATGCCAGGTTTCGTCAGTTAACTTGGTTTTTCTTTATAGTATGTGTGGTGAATTGCGCAATTTTGAGCCATAACAGCATTTATCTATTATACGTAGTATGTTATACGTTATATGTTATACGTTATATGATATACGACATGTGTTATACGTTATATGTTATACATGTTTAACCCCAAGGTCCTACCCCAGCCGTAGATATTAAAAAGCTGCATGAGCTTTCGACAAAGTGTCTCCACATTTCGACTGAGCTCCTGCAACACTCGTTATGTTTTACCCCTTCATTAGCAACATGTTGATACAAATTCAAAAAATGCGCGGGATTTTGTAAGACCAAAATTAGTTACTTATTTTTGAAGTTGCTAAAATCAGTTTTTTCCAATGCGTTTAAAATCTATTAAAAATATCTTTAAAACATTTTAAATAACTAATGATTTGATATACACTTTTGGAGGAAACTCCTTTGTTTTTAGTATGTAATTTTCAAAATTTATTTATAGACGCTTCGTGCATGTTGCTGGCAACATTTAGCATCGGCCAAATGTTGCACGGGACATGCGCATTGTTGCTAACGCAACGTTCGTGTAACGCTCAATTTGCGAGCGAAGAGATTGGAAAAAAAAAATTATATTCAATGATAAAGTGAAATTCGTGCGCGTTGGTTGGCTTACACTTCGTGTAAGCTTCAAGCTCAGACTCCGGCTCTCGGCCCTCTGTCGCTCACTCCCACTCGCTCTCTGTCTCTCTGTCTCTGTCTTGTTCGCACACTCTCTTCGTTGGCTCTCGTGTCGGATCGGTGTGTTCACAATTAGCAACAACAGCAACAGCAACAACTTCAAAACTAATGCCTAGCAATTGAAGTGCCTGGCGGTGCTTGGGCACAAAAATTGCTGATAACAAGTGCAATAAATGCATCAAAATTTGCCACTTGCAATAGCAGCTCAATAAATTCCGCTAAAATAACAATTCATATTTACAATATTGAACAAGGAGCAAGCAGCGTTCGCGATGCGTCTAATTGGATTCATGCTAAATTTGGCTGCTTTAACAGGTGAGTGAATTCTCTGGCCAATACAGTGGCCCCTAGATGAGTTTAGCCAGAGTTTTATATATTTATTTAAATATAGTTATGCTATGAATTTGCTGGGCTTATACCCTCTTTCTTATGAAAGAGGCAGCTTCGGGCTGGTCTGCAAAAGTCTTCGTTAAATTAAGTTCACTTTGTTGTTAGTTTGACAGCTGAGTGAGTTCCTCACAGTGGTTATTCGATATGTTCAACTGGAGTTTTATAGTATATAAATTCCTTTAAACAGAGTTTCATGCCAACTGTTCTACTAATTTAGTTTTAAACTCCTTTTATATGCTCTTAGCTAAGTTCAGATATAAATATATTTCTTTTCATACATTTATATAATGGATGAAAATATAATGTTTATATTCCCATTTGTATGTGCAGAAACATTGCTCTTGACTTGATAATTATCTCTTAGACAGTTTTGCATTTCAAATCCCAGCTAACTGGGTTAACTGCCTCTATGAATCCAGGCCTGGCTTGTGGGGCTTGGGTTCTCTTTTAGAGTACATGTTTCACTTTTGTTGAAGTCTCAAGAATTCTCCCTTTATAGTTTACATGTTTCCATTGCCATTTTTTTTCGTATATTTTATCACGTTCGTCTTCTGCCATAGCCACTGTTGCGTTGTTGTTTGCTCATCAATATATTTTGCTTGGGGCCTTTGGTGTTTCTGGCTCAAGTGTTTCGTGGCTAATGCAAAATCGATTTCACATTGTTGCATATTCCGTTTACAGGTGAAATCAATGAACGGTGACGCAACCAAGCTCAATCGAGTCGAGTTGAGGTTTAAGTGCACGGCATTCTGTCTCCAGAATATGCAGCATTTAAGTCTGACAGGGATTAAGGCGTTTCGTTTCGGACCCGGCTCAACTTGTCATCACAGACAGATTCACAGAGCAGAGCGACACTTCAATCTGCATGCTCCAGATTAATGTGGCGCTGCTGCATTTCAACTCTTTGCTTTACTTCTTGACACTCTCCGGCTCACGCCAAGCATTGCTGCCCGGCAAATATTTAATTTAAACGGCTCAGCTCACTCGCTGGGCATTAACACTTCGTCAGGCGCTTTGTAAGCTGAGAAGCTATGTTAATTACAGTTTAACTGTTCTCCGAGGCAATTGATTGATGTGTGGGGTTTCCCTTGGAGACTACAGCATGTTATAATTTAAGCCAATTTTTATTGGCTATTTAAACATTACAAACACTTTAATGCGCTATTCGACTGTTGAAAATACAACAAACTTCGTAGTTTGGAAAATTAATTAATTTAAAATTAAATACAATGTTTAATGTTTTCATATATATTAAAATGCTTGAAAATATTTATAATGAAGTTTAGATTTTCATGAAAATTATAAAGCATTTTAATTTGCATATATTAGAATATTACTAAATATTTCGTATATGTATTTTAATTTAATTTATGGTATGCTAAAGTTTTGGTCATTTTTAATTGGTTTATTAATTAAAGAAATTTATTCAAATTTTTTAACAAGATTTTCTTTTGTTTTTTATTTAAGTTTTTATCTGGCTCACTAAAGCGATTCAGCTTAAGAATTCGCTCATGCTCAAATAATTTCATTTAATTACTTGTTATTTCTGCAGAATAAAAATATGCGAAAAAAATACTCAACAAATTTTTGATTAAGTCAGAGTTTGTGTGTGTGCGATTTTTTTTAATTTTTATTTTTTTTTTGCGTGCACATAATATAAATATTTTTTGCATTTCTTCAACATTTCAAAGTGTTTAATATTTTTCTTTTCCTGTTAATGAACGTAATCCAAATCATGAATTTTTTTTGGAATAATTCAATTCAATTTAATTAATTATACTTAATTCAATTAATTATATGTATATATAGGAGATAAATACAAAGT